GGCCTCTGCGTCACGGCGTATTGTTTGAAGAAGTGGAAGAAGGAGCATGCGTTTGCCGAGGTGGACCCGACATTGGTGGCGATCGCTATCGCATTCTATGGCCCACTCATCTCGTGGCTCAGCGGCAACGTCGGCTTCCTCGTGACCTTGTACCAGTGGATGTTTACGTGCCTTGTGCCGCAACAAAACACCTCGGAGCAGAACGAGCTCGTTGTCGGCTGCACCGCCTACACAGTTCTTATCGCGGTGCTACCAGTTGTGTATGGTTTCCTTGCTCCGCGTTTCCAGTGCTGGGGTACAAGTCAAGTGCACTTTCGATGGTTTTCATGCGTGCGGACTAGGACGCTTTCGGTGTCTTCGCCGCCGCAAACATGCGTACAGCAGCCACCACTACAACAACTGGAAGAACCAGATCCTTCTCGCGCTCCTGCGTCCCTTTCGCACCAACAACATTCACATGATTGCGAGCGGCGGCACCGTCTACGCAGCGTACCATGCCAGCGCAAGCTTCAAGAACTGCCCAACGTTTAGCCTTCGGAGCGCCGACTGCTTTGTGCTGTGTTACCACCGCGGCGAACTGCGCGAGAAGATGCGCCTGAGTTTCCTCAGCTCCCTCGACACACGCGGGAACGCGATTTCCAACGCCACGACGCCCACGTCGTACCACTTCAACGAGCTGGTTGAGACGACCAAGGAAGGCGTGTCCTCGTTTCAGCTCCACAAACCGTCCCAGCCGTCCGTTTGGTGCATCTAACGGGATACTTCCGAAGCGCTTCTCTGTTCCAAAATAATAGGCACACCTAGTACATATATCGTCTAGTGATCGATGGAGATTGCATCGTCAAAGGGCACGCGTTATGTTTGTTTCCTTGGTTCACATTACCACTTGTCTCACCACGCAAAAAATGGATATCAAACGAAACACGGTTAGCATTGTCATTTATTGCCAATCTCGTTGTGGGCTAGAACGAAAATGTCTCTTTCAAGGAATGTTCGAGTGGACCTCGTATTTTCTTGGGGCGTGGTCGACCTTTTTGGTTTAGGTAGGGAACAGGAGGTGAAGATGAGGAGGTTAGAAAGTTACAAGATCGATCGATCGTGTAGCGACGAGTCTCACGCAACTTTGACACTCGATGTAGCAGTCACATGCACCAGGGCGACGCGTGAAGAGGACACAGAAGCTGCGGTCGAAATGTCTTTTGATCGACTGCCGCGTTGTGGTCGGGGATCACAAGGTGGTTGAAGCAGTAGGCACTCGCACCTGGCACAATCTCGACAATACGGTCGCTGCTCTGAAGGTCAAGATGCGCCAAAAGACTGAGACGGATCCTGGTGTGCACTTGGTTGTTGCAGTAGCAGAGAAGGTAGCAGTCGGCCCCCGCGTGTTGACGACTGGAAGGGCCTTGGCGCGGGCGCAGCGTCGAAAGAGCAGGTAGATGGAGCCACCCAAGTTTTTGTTGTCGTCTCCGCGCAGCGCCGGCACGAGCGAAAACAGAATGCGATTTTTTGTCGAGTTGTACAAAAAACTGCTGTAGCGCACACGCCGCGCGCGTCGGCGTCGACAGAATGGAGTTGGACGCAGGCCAAAGCAGAGCGGAATCACGGCAATGATCAGAATATAGACCGCGCCTGCGCCCGCGACTTCAATTTGAACAAGGTCGTTGGTCGTATAGACGCACACAAGAAGGTAGCGATAGGCATTTAAGAAGCTCGGCACGGCCACATTGATGACCCACAAAAGCGGACCAAGCACCAGCACCGCGAGGCCGAGCCACATCGGGTCCACTTCGGTAAAGACGTACTCGAGTCGACAGCGCTTGAGCAGCTTGTTGACCGCGACAAGCGAAAAGCAGGCAAACCAAATCTACAAGAAAATCATTTTCAAAATCGCAAATGGTAGCACAAGGTGTGTATTACCATGCGGAAGAGATAGAGGACAGCCTTGCACAACGCGCCAACGTCTCTTACTTGAAGCAATCGGAGCACGGCGACGGCCACCATGTGCGGACTGAGCGTAAAATCAACAAAAAAGGCGCCCACCACAAACGGGTCGACGAGCAACGGGGCGGTTGGGTCGCCCGCAATCAGCTCGTAGCGCCACGTATGCTCCGGTATCAAGTCGTTGCGGTGGCCACGCACAGCAAGGGTGTGCGCCAAGCCCATGAGCGGGCCAAAATAACGTCGCCAGAGCAACGTGAGCAGCAGCACCGTCGAGCCAATGCGCCAGAAAAACTTGAACCAGATGAGCGCCGGGTACGGGTATTGCGTCAGCACATACGTCAACGTATACTCGGCGCTATCGAGAGGATTGTCTCTCGAGAGCCAGATGCATTGGTGCGATAGTGGCACCGTGATGAACCGCACCAGCGTACACGTGCCCCGCTGATGCCATGCACCACTGGCCGAGTCGTTGGCGAACGACTGCAACAGGTCGACCATCGCGCGGCCGTAGAAAAGGACCCCCGGAAGGCTCAAGGGGCTGCGGCTACTACTTGACAAGACGTGCCGACACACGTGGGCGTTGCGCGCGATGTCGAAGACGTACGTCGCGCCGTGAGGAAGCGTCGCGTGCGAGTAGAGCGCTTGGTGCGTTGCAAGAGCCGTTTGGTTGAAAATCGTGAGGTTATTAAAGTCAGGAGACGCGGGCAGCGCCGTTGTCCAAGGCAGTGTTTCCGAGATGTAGGCTTGAAAGGGCTACATGGAGGAGACACGCATGAGAACGTTTCGAGGCGCCCATTCCACGATACCATGGCGACGAGGGACGCAGAGAGAAGAAGGCTAACGACAGCTAGGCCGCGGTGGTGCTTGATGCTGTAGTGCGAACGCAGCACCGAGGCGCGGCACGGGCCTGGCGTCACCTTGGCGCCGCGCATCGTTTTGCCGTTTGAAATAGACGAGGCAGTCCTATAGAAACGGCGCGACCTTTGACGTCGACACGGCCCAGAGCTCAAAAGCGCCCGCAAACAAGATGGCCTCTGTTTTATTTTCAACGCCCAGCAAGTGAAACCACTAACGAACGGCTGCGTCCGCGGTCGGCGCAGGCAGAAGCTGCGCGAACCGGCGTTTCCAGCTACATCAGCCCTACGTCGCAGAGGACGTCACACGGTGCGAGGACGGCCTCGTCACAACGACCCAAACCAGAAGAAACCATAATCAGTCACGCATCATGCAGTCCAGCAGCTCCACGTTCAGCCTCGTTGCCGCGCAGCGCCAAAGTCAACTCTCCGACGCCGTCAAGTAGATCATTGACATGCACAGTACCACCTCCAGAATGAGATGCATGCAGTGTCAACACTTGAGAAATCGAGGCTCAAGGGCCCCCACTAGCCAGAGACAACCAAGCACCAAACCGCATCAACAAGACCAATCACAACCACCAAAGAGAAAACAAGATCAACCAACCAAAAGAAGACAGTTTATCCAGCCATCAGAAAGCACTGCAACCGTTCAGCGGCATCAACAACAGCAAAATCAAGCAACCAACAAGAACCAAGCCTTGACAACCGCACTCTCCAGCGCAATAGAACGACGTCCAGACTCGGCGTCCAGATGTACAGCGCCCGTGGTCATTGGCTTCTACAGTCCCAGGTCGGTACAACCAAGTTCTTATCATCGCTTATTGATGTGCCATTGTGTTCTTAGATCTGGATCGCGTATGTGGCGACCTACCTCGTCTCGCACCGGCTCAAGCGTACCGTAGCGGTGACAAACGCCGTTTTTCCAAGTCGAACCGACGCTGTTAGCGGTCGTCGTCTATGGCCCGCATCTGACGAGACTTGATAGCAACGTGAGCTTTTTTTCTATTGACCTACGGCTACCTCCTCGACTGCCTTGTTTCGGACCAAGACAGAGCGATTGAAGACTTTCTCGTCGCAAGATTTTGCATGGCTCTCATGGGTAGCATGCCAGACGTATGTTTGCCGCCTTTGGCGTTCCTCACTGGAAAAAAATACGACAGCAATCTCATCTCGCTCGGCGACACACTCCGCTCGGTCTTTGCTCGGCACAAGTTATTAAAGGCACGTGTAGTGCAGTCCTTCACCGAACTCACTACCGCAACATTGCACGAGCTTGCCTTTCCACGCAAGACAAAACCACGTGCGTACTTGTGGGGCGACTCTTCGACGCGTTGAAGGTGAAGCGATGCATCGTGGGGAGGCGTATGACGTGCCACATCGACTGACAAAGTTGTGGCATGGGGACCGCCGATTTTTCTCCCGATAGAACAGCTCCAGATTTTCTCGGGGGCGTGGACGACCAGGCCCAAATGTATTTTGCGCGATTTTATTGTATTAAATCGAGTTGGCAACATCTACGCCATATCAAGCAACGGAGCGCTGCATGCGAAATAGCAAACTTGGTACTATCCTAACACTAGCAACCTTTTCACTGATGGTTAGGACGACTTTACATTATCAAAGCACGGCCAAGTGTCCTCTACACAGTGATGCTGCATTGAATCGAGCTTTTGAAATCTTATTCCGCGTATTCGTCGACTTGCGCAACAAATGACATGCGAATGTAAAGGCACATGGAGTATGTAGTCTCTTCACCATTTTCGCAGATGCAGTGGTCGATTTTTCGTGCCTGGTGTTATTCTGAGCCAGCAGCCCTAGCGCCGTCCCACCAAGTTTGCTGATGACTGCTTTGTACCCAATGAAATATCGCATGTATGTACGAGCAAAGCGTAGGGAATTGGAGAGCTCTCACCAACGGGCTTTACATATCGCGCGGGTTGACAGTCCATTACAGCTTGGGCTCCCTTGGCTCTACTACTCTGAGGCAAACTGCCTTCTCGATTCGCGGCCGGTATTTGGCCACAAAGCGACACCTGAAAAATTGAGGTGCTGCCTAGATCAAGTTCCTTGACAAAGTGTACACAACGAAGAAAGCCCGGCAATTTCATGCAGCATAGTTTTATCCGTTGTAATAGACGACCCACTCGAACAGCAACAAATTGAGTTGCTTTTCACACGAATATCGTGTCAAGGATAGACTTTGGTCGTCAAGCTTTTCGATCCACTTTGAATTCCAGCATGGAGAGACAAATGAATCAGGCATCGTAGCACCCTGCTCCTCGCATTTCAACCTTTGCAAGTCCACCGATGGCGGCCGACTGGAATCACCAAGCTTTACGCCAGCGTGTGCATGTTCATAGTCTCTTTGAATGCCCGTGATGCGGTCGGTGCACAGTAGTAGTGCATATTTCTACCGAGAATTCGTACGGAATAGTCCACGAAGTTGCATTTATCACGCCTCGTCGCAGCTGGAGAAGACTGTCAAGTCGACGCTGGTGCTGGTTATTGGTAGCGTCGCAAACGCGTCGACTTCGGATTGAACAAAGGCTTGGATCTCTGGTCGTAGCTGCAGCCAATCATCCACCGAGAGCACTTGTGGCACGTGCGCACTCGGGCGCTACACATGTGTCGTCTGCGAAGACGAGGAATGGCAAGTGTCTGCTACCTTGGTCGAGTGCTCGCTGTACTTGACGATGGCGCACTGCGCTTGCGCGGGAATGTCAATGCGGGCGAGGAACGGACTAATGCCGGCGTCAAAAAGCCCGGGCAGCACCGTCTCGTAGCGCACGCACGCCGGCGCGATGCTAAACAGCCTAATCGAATTCATAGGAGGACGGTGCTTTCGATCCGAGATACCGGATGCAGAACGCGTGGAGCTCGGGGTGCGACTCGGAGAGAAAGGCGTAGTAGGAACATACATCCTCGGCGTACAGCGCTTTTGTCGCGCTATCAAACGGAAACTGGCCGCGCCGAAGCTCGAGCACATGGGCGACGACAGCATTGGCGTCGAGGTGCCACTGCAGGGCGTAGTGGCGCACCGCCGCGCCCACGTGAAGCCAGTGCTCGAAGAGGTCGACCTACACACCACGTCAGCGCCTTGCACGATATCAAAGGTTTTATGTACGTCCGTGGCGGTATGCAGCGCATACGCGAGGAGCCATAGGCGGCCGTCGCACTTGGAGAGAATCGATGGCAGCAGCGGCCACGAGGATTGCGCGCGGGCTAGGTGTAAATAAACAAGCAGCGCATCTCGACCCGAGACAACGCCGGGTGCTTCGAGGCGGGCATGCGCGGCGTCCAGAGTCGACCACATAGCACTAACGTCGCTTTCATGTGCCGCCATCGCCCGCCAGCTCTTGGCGACGGGTTGCCTCGGACCGCTCGACGTGAGAAATGTACTTGCCGAGACGAGTCGAAGGAGCGCGCGAGTACAAAAAGTACCGTGCACTGCGGCAACGCAGCCATGGCCGCTTCGAGCAGCAATGCCGAGTCGACGAGGATGGCCACGAGCGGCGGACTGGAGGCCACGACCTAGTCGACGTGTCCGAAATGGGAATTATGGGACGGGGAATACGCACGCTCGTCAGGTGCGCAAGGCACGCCTCGAGCGTCGGTGCGATCGATGCAATGGATATCGTCGTGCAGCTGTGGAGGTACTGAAGCGTGCACGCAATGGTAAACTCGCGCGAGCAAAGCGACGTCCAGGACGCGACCGAGAGCGACGCGAAAGGCATGCTCGGCGGATCACCAGCTCTGTGGCGCAAGCAACGTTCGTAGAACACGTCCGGGGAGGGCACATTGACTGTCAGCAGCTTTGATACGTCGGGGTTCCATGCCCACGCCCACGACACGTGCCCACCGAGCGCGACCTAGATACTGTCGGCCATCGACCGAACCGTAGAGGCTTGTAGTACCTGTGCCAGTGCATCGTCCGGAGGGAGCGCGATGGCCGCGGATCGCTTTTCGCTCGCGACAGGCGGTGCGCTGGGCCGCACAGGGCCGTCGCTGAGCAAGAGGTCGAGTAGCGGCTGCGGTGGCACCATGGCCTCGGGCTCGGGCGTGCGCCGGCGTTTGCGGCTGGGACCTGCCGCGTGCTCGTCGGCCATCGAGCGAATGTGCATTCGCGTCGAGGCGGGGCAGTAGATGCAGATGCTGAGGTGGCGTAGCATCTTGGTGGGCACACCTCGAATGGCCTCGATGCTCAACGGACCCGCCGCAGGGTTGGCCGGTGCTGCGAGAGCCTGCGCCTGGGCGTCCGAGCAGTAGCGGCAGTAGACGTGGTGATGGGACCCGTTGCGCTTCTCGCCCTTGATGAAATCGGGCCCAGACGGCGTGCGGAGGGCGACCAGTCTTGGGCCGGTGCGTCGCCGCCGGTGCCATGTTGCTGCTGGCAGATGACTTGCATACAATTGGCCATCGCGTCGCCAGACAACGGCGCCGGATTGGCCAACGCGTTTTAAAATACGCTATTTGGACCAATGCGAGGCACCTTTTTTTCATCCAATAAATGCGCGTTCGTACGGCATCCCATCGTGGATTGGCTACCAAACACAAACTTTTGTCCAATCACATTCCTATATTGTCTACAGTAAAATAGTGTGAAGCTGGGTTCGAGACTGCACTGCAAGGACTCCATGGAGTGAAGTTGTACGAGGTTGCTCCTTGACAAGGAGCAGCTTCGTACGACGACTAGGAACTTACTGAAGCGAGCAATCCGATATATAGGAAGATTTCCGTAGGCATCATGAAATAGTGTGGTAGATATATGGCACCTGTCGTGGGGCCAATCGCATGGCGATCCCTCGACCTATTTTAGCGAATCAAGCGAGGCTCTCATTAATCAACCAATCGCGACAAAGCCGGCATAATTTCAGCCAATCCGATGCTCGAAGCAGCAGTTCTCGTTTCTTGCCCCAGATCTTCTCCATTTCGAAATCCTTGGCCATCTTCGCAGCAGCAGCAGCATGGGCCGCGGCAGCAAGACGACCAAGAAGAATGGGAAGGAGAGCCTTGTGGGCACGGAGCAGC